GCGTAGTTCTACACGAGTACCGGGTTCTTTGTTTCGGTGAAAATTTGGAATGCAGGCAAAAATTTATCAACATGGATGCTACAAACGGCTTATCAGCCATTATTCACCACTTAGTTTCTTACTTAGCATCATAAACCCATATATCTCCAAACAGTCTTTTTCTCTCTCCCCCATTTCCTACTTTTAAACAGGGTTCCAGTTCCTTGCCAGTCGGCACCCCCATTCTTCTCCTCTCTGATACGAACATTCGCAATTTAAACCAGCAGCCTTGGTTTTTCCCATCTTCTTCGCACCGCAACCCCTACCCTCTTTCTTTTGCAGGGAAGACACACTACAGTCCTTCCTCACCCCTTCCCTCCCTTTCGTTACGAAACAGAAAGGAGGGATTTTCAGGCCGAGCTTTGCATTTTAGTAGAGACAAAAAGTGAAAAAGGCTGTGGAAAACCGTTTTAGAGCAGTAATGTATATGATTTGAAATAGTGAAAAATGTACATGTCCTGTAGTTTGACGGGTCTTTCTTGTCATCAAGATATGCCTCCGTAGTGAGTCGGAAAGTGCTACTCGTTGTGGTGTTTATTTCATGCTGTTGTTTAGCTTGTGCGAAAAAATAAAGTGCTTTTGGAAACAAGTTCTTTGCCGTAATTATATTAATCATCGAAAATATCGGAATCCAAGGATTTCTTTACTTCCAACTTTCAGCATCATCTCTGCAAGGGCCCAGCTACAAGCTTGTTTGAGGTTACACGATTGTTTGCCGAAATTAAAGTGTTTCGCGATGATGATGAGTTGATATGGCTAGTGGCAATAAAATAATAATATCGAAGTTTTTAGACCCTTGTACTTGATAGATGTTATGTTAGTAATCCCTTCAGCACTGTAGCCACTGGGTGATGCAATTACTGACCGAACTGGAAAATTTGCCGGGAATTTACCAAGACGTATATGACTTAATGGACCGAAACGTCTTAACTCACTTGGAAAATTTGCCGGAAAATTCACCAAGACGTATATGACTTAATGGACCGAAACATCTTAACTTACTGTTTCCACATTCATTCATACTTAGTTTGTTCCATGCCTTTGCTTCCTAAGCTTCTAGCATCAATTTATATGCTACAACCAGCTTACCAAACTAATGAATTGCAGCTGAGCGAAATATTCAAAATTGTTA